TTCATATAGTCTGACGTGATTCTTACACATTATTTGTAATTGAGTTTGTCATCTGAATTCTTTAATTAAATTATTCAAATTTTCATCTTTTAAGTCTTCATACTTAATAGATTCATTTAAGTCTAAACATGTAAATTTAGTAAAGTTAAGAGTTAGATAGATCTTAATATCTTAATCACAATAAGTCACAATTAGTACTTTTAAGTAGAGACTTAATAATATGATCAACCTGAGTTGAAGAATTTTACAATGATACCATTTATAGTAATTTTTAAAATATTTTAAATAAAATTTTATAATTATTTTAATTATTTAAGATATATTTCAAATCATAACTTAAAAAATAAGATGTAAAAAAGTGATGATAAAAGTATAACTAAGAATGATTAGATTGATAAATGTATAATAAATGTATAATAAATATATTAAATTTAAAAAAAATATATGACTAATCTTTTTGTTATTAATTGATCATATAATATATTATTTTATCATTAAATAAATATATGACAAGCATTTTTGATTATAATTTATTAAGTATATAATAAAGTTGCTTTATATAATTAATTAAAACAAAAAATTTGTATGACAATATGATAAAATTCAAAAAATTTAGAAGTTTATGCATAGAATTCATTATATAATTTTTTTTGTATTTAGAAATCCTATTTAGAGTTGTAATTTTTGATTAATATTATAAATATTATTAATATTATACTATTCATAATAATTATAATATTTGATCATATAATAATTTTTGATTATAAGATTTATTTATGATTAAAAAAAAAATTTAAACTTAAATTAGTAGTATTAGAATTGATTTAATATATTCAAATAATATTCTTTAAAAATATTTAAAATATTTGAAATTATATACTTATTCTTTAATATTACAATTTTTATAAATTAAAATAAAAGAATAAAAAGACCTAAATATGTGATAGTTTCCTTATTAGTTGCTAAAGTTATATTTTAAGAAAATGTGATTACACAACTTAATTGCAATACAAACAAACAATGATGTAAAATTAAAATAATTACTTATTATAGTTAGACAACTATAAAACGCGTGGATGATCGTTTGATAATCCCTTGTTGTAAAACCGGCCTTAAAACCGATCTTTAAAATCGAATCAGACTGTAAACCGTCATATTTTTTTCAATATAAAAAGCACAAGAAACCAAACACTTTTTCATTCAAAATGTCTCGAAATTTACACTCCCAAAACGTTTTAGGACAGTCGCTTTTCCAAAAAATAAACGAATGCCGTGTGCTAATCATTGGAGCTGGTGGGATCGGATGCGAGCTATTAAAGAATGTGGCAATGAGTGGTTTTCTTCAAATCGAACTGGTTTGTCCTTATATAGTTTACCGCATTAGATCTAATCGCTTCAAATAATCTTGACTAACAATATATTTTTGACAGGTTGATCTAGATACAGTCGAACTTTCGAATTTAAACCGGCAATTTTTATTTCAAAACCAACACATTAAGAAATCTAAGGCAAAAGTATGTACTTTTTTTTTTCCTGAAATTTTATGTCTGACCAGTTTTGTTTTGTTGATACAATAGGTTGCACGTGAATCCGCATTAAATTTTAACCCTGATATGAATATCATTGCGCATCATGCTAATATCAAAGACAACCAATTTAACGTTGAATGGTTTAAACGCTTCGATATTGTGATGAACGCATTAGATAACCTTGGTACAAAATGATTATTTGTTTATTTGTTCTTTAAAATTAGATTTAAATGATTTTTTAACGAACCCATTGAAATTTATTCAGAAGCTAGACGCCATGTAAACATGATGTGTTTAGTTGCTGATGTACCATTGATTGAATCTGGTACAGAAGGATATTTAGGTCAAGTGACAGTGATTAAAAAGGTCATCAATATTAATAATACATTCCATTTAAAATTTACAAGTTTACACGTTAAGCACATAGTTTGACATTTTATTATTACTTTAGGGAATATCCGAGTGTTATGATTGCCAACCTAAACCATTAAAAAGAACTTTTCCAGTATGTACCATTCGAAGTACTCCCTCCCAACCTATCCATTGTATCGAATGGGCTAAAAGTTATCTTTTTAGGTTTGTCTATCCTATATAATTTAAGTAATAAGTATATTCTTTATCTAACAAATTTTCTAGTCAGTTATTTGGACTACCTGAAGATGAAGATGATGAACGTTTGGAATCAGAAATGACGGATGACAATGGTATTTTTCTTATTTATATATTTCATTTTAACAAGTGGCTAATCATCATAAATTTTTTGCAGCGAATGAAATAGATAATCTTAGAAGAGAAACGCAAGCGTTAAAGCAAATTAGAGCAGCAATGGGAACGCTGGACTATCCTCAAAGAGTTTTTAGAAAGGTTTTTACCGACGATATAATTCGTTTACTTAGAATGGAAGATATGTGGAGAAACAGGAAACCTCCCGTACCTCTAATATACGAGGACATTGTAAATTTAGTTACGGAAGGAGATTCTGATTTGAATTACATAGAAGATTATAATATGTTGAAAGATCAACGAATATGGAGTCTAGCAGAAAACTTCGTTGTTTTCTTAGATAGGTTTGCTATCATACTATATTTTAATCATGTTTAATATAAACTATATATTTATTTATTACTTCCTATGTAGCGTTCGACGCCTAAGTAATACATTATTAAAAAAACAAAACAGTAATCCAAACGCTTCGCTTTTATTTGATAAAGATGATCAGGATGCTTTGGATTTTGTAACAGCATCATCCAATTTACGATCAATTATTTTTAGTATTGATGTGAAATCACAATTTCAGATTAAAGGTATTTAGTAATGCAAATCTTATCGTGAAAACTTATAATTAGATTTTAAACATTTTATTTATATTGTAATCTAGCAATTGCCGGTAATATTATTCCAGCTATTGCAACGACAAATGCAATAATTGCAGGAATGATCGTGATGCAATCGTACAAAGTCCTAAGTGAAAAATTCTCCGATTGTAGAAATGTACATATCGTTTCTTTTATATTTACACTTATATAATACATTGAGTAATTTCAAGACCAGAGTTTACATTATGTTATAGGTGTTTTTAGATAACTCACGACGACCACGAGTCCTTGTTTCCGAAAGTTTGACTTCACCAAATCCAGACTGTCGTGTTTGTAATAACACACACATTATTCTGAAAGTAAACACCAAAATGGCAACTTTGCGTGATTTTCTCGAAAGGGTGGTTCATGATGATGATGAAATGGATATTAGTGAAGTTACAGTGGAAGAGGGTGGAAGGTTTGATCACTTTTTGATTTAGTGTTTAATGTTTATGCATTTTGTTGAAATCTTTATTTTTTGCTTTATTAAAAGGATTCTGTATGATGTTGAATATGATGATAATCTTGACTCTACTTTTGAGCAACTTCAAATTACTGATGGTAAATTGGTTACCGTAAAGCCAGAAGAACAAAGTTCATCTATTTTTGCAATTTCTCATAGGTATTACAATCTTTTTTTTTTTTTTTTTTAAAAAAAAAAAGAGAGAGATAATTGATATTTTTATTTACTTTGTTTTTAAATGGATAGAGAAAACTTTGAAACGTCTTCGACATGGTTTGAAATCGAAGGTGTTTGTTTTGCTAAGAATCGGAATTCAGCACACAAAAGAAAGTTGGAAATTGATGCAATCGAAGGATCATCTCGTAAACGTCATGCGGTGGACGAGTCAACGGTCGAAGATGACTCTGATAATGACACATTACCGCGAGACGATATTATCGAGGACGAGACATTTGAAGGTGCGATATGCGAAGAAAAAATAGTTTATAATATCGACGATGATGATGATGAAGAAAAAAAAGTTTATTATATCGACGATGATGATGGTGAAGAAAAAAAAGTTTATAATATCGACGTAGAAGATGAAGAAGAAAAAAGAGTTTATTATATCGACGATGATGATGATGAAGAAAAAAAAGTTTATAATATCGACGATGATGATGAAGAAAAAAAAAAAGTTTATAATATCGACGATGATGATGAAGAAAAAAAAAAAGTTTATATCAACGTAGATGATGAAGAAAAAAAAAAAGTTTATATCAACGTAGATGATGAAGGAAAAAAAAATGTTTATATCAACGTAGATGAAGAAGGAAAAAAAAATGTTTATATCAACGTAGATGATGAAGAAAAAAAAAAAGTTTATAATATCAACGTAGATGTTGAAGAAGAAAATATTGATAAAGAAGTAATCAAAAATGATAAAAAAAAAAATAGAGTTTGGGAACTTATAGTCATTGATAATTAAAACACTAGCATTTGAAAATTTTTTTTTTTTTTAAGCATTATGAATAATTTGTAATTGAATGTGTTTTTGTAACATTTTAATACATAAATACGAATGATGAGAATTCACAATAAATTGTATTCTATGAATAGAAGTATATCTTAAAATGCTTTGACAGTAGTTGTAGCATTAAAAGATTTATTAGATTTATTTTTTTTTTTTTTAAAAAAAAAAAAAGATAGTATTTACAAGTAATAAAAATTTTAATCTATTAAAATATAAATAAGTTACATTTAAAGAATTACAAAGAAAGAGATATTTAAGTTTATAATACACCAAAGATAAGAAAATAAATTAAAAAAATTCTAAATCTAAATTGGTAATGAATTTAAAGAAAATCTTAAGTTTATACAAATCTGCTTAAATAATAGTTTCATAAGGTTTGAATTGTTCATAATTGTTAATAAAAGTGCAGTAATTCAACTTAAGTAATTTAAATATAATGTCTTTTTTATAGTTACATATATGTACATGAAAACTTTTTTTCATAAATACTGTATATCATATATGGTGTGAAAAAAAAAAAAATTCCAGCATCATTATAAATTATCATCTTAACATCATTTTCACATAATAAATATTACTAATTATTGTGCGGACTGTGGAATTACGGCAGCACCATCGTAATCTTTTTGATGTTTTGGGGAACTAGAAAGTTCACCAAGGTACGATGCTTTTCGTTTTTTTTTTCAGATCGTTTTGCCAACTCAATAGATGAAATATCATACCCCCCTCCAGGTCCCCCAGTGGGACCTATATCAGCAGGCCCTCGGTTGCTTCTCTCAAGCAAGAGAGATTTAAGAAGATTTTTCTATTTAAAAAAGAATTAAAAACAAATTGATTAGATAAATTTATAAATTTGTAGATGAAAATACCGATGGTAACAATGTTTAATACTAACCTCAATCTCAAGTTTTCTTACTTGGTCTTCAAGCAATTCACGTCGATTACGCAATTTACGCTCATTAATTACCTCATTTTCAAGTTGACGAACACGATCTTCAAGGTAATCATTACGCTCCTTCAATTGTATTTCTAATTGAGACATCGCAGTTGTTCTACGATTAATTATAATTGTATCAACATCTGGATCTATTTTAATTGGATCATCAACAATCCTTTGTTGAGAATCTTGAGCATATTGAATGGAATAACGTTGAATATTTGCAGATGTGGCTTTCGTGACAGAGTCAACAGGAAAGACTATTTGACCAATTCGAGTCGAATTATTAAGATTTGAAGGCGATTTTTGCATCTGAATTTGTTGATGCCATTGTTTATATTGCTCTTGAACTTGTTGAAAATTTTCCTGTGATTGTCTCAGAGATTCTGATTGTAATGTCGGTGATTTATTCATTTGCGAATCCATATGATTTTTATCGATCTGTTTTTTTCTTTTGTTGTGGCGGTAGAAGTGGCTGTTGTTGCTGAGGCTGAGATTGTATTTTTTGCGGCTGTTCCACTTTCTGTTCGGTTTTTTGTTGAGAGAGTTTTTGTCCATTTGTAGAAGTTTGGTAGAGCTTTTTTTGTGGACCACCACAGAAACTTTCCGCGCGTAAATGTCTGTTCAAAGCATCTAACCTTGCAAAGCTTCTCTTACAATGAGGGCATTGATATGGTTTCTCACCTGTGTGTAATTTCGCGTGTCTTTTCAAATCGTGGTGTCGACGAAAAAAGTGTTGACATACCTCACATTGAAAAGGTTTTTCTTGAGAATGGGTCAACGCATGTGATTTAAGATTATGTTGTCGACTAAATGTTTGATTACATTCTGTACAAGCGTATGGTTTTGCTTTTACAGGAGTAGGACTTTGCGGCTGTCCGGAAGTAGTTGCTTGTTCTTGAGAATTTAAAGCAAACGAATTGTATAAACCTGAAGATGGGCTACCTTTTTGTGATGAAAGAGGAGTAGAAGGAGAAGCTAAATTACTAGAATCAGAATTATAATTAACTGGTGATAGAGTTAGAGAACCAGATATTGTTCTGTTGGAATTAGACGTCAACAAGTTTATATCTTGGGAAGAAAAATTCAAATTTTGAGGTGTCAACTCACCAGGTGGTGAAGTATTTATCTCTGGAACTTGAGAAGGGGTTGTATTAACACTGATTAAGTTAGAAGGGTTGGAAATGGTGGTTTTGTTTGAGGCAGACTCGAGAGAATTAAGATGCTCAGTTTGCGGTTCAGAAATTTGAACTTGTAAGGGGTTTATGGAGTATCCCGAGGAAGAAGTTGCGGTAGTATCGGTGGGAGGGTCTTCTTTCGTCGAATCATTTTTAAGTTCGGTAGAGTTAAGTGAAGATTCAACGTCCATTATTATTATTATTTTTTGTAGATTTATAGATGAAAAATTGACTTTTTTTTTTTCTGTGAAGAATTACTGTGGCTTGAAAATGGTGGGGGCGAGGCGAAAGGAAATAGGGGGTATTTAATCAAAAGCAAAATTACAAAAAAGGAATAGACCTTGTGGATAGTGTACTGGTGAACAAGAACTGATAAGGCAAAACATTTCCCGGTGGCGTTCAATTGTGTACAAATTTTAAATACATTTTTGATGTAATAATGTATAAAGAGTTGCGGAAAAAAAAAAAAATAAAAACGCCCGTAACACCATTTATAGTATCTTTCTATACATGAACATTTACAATGAATAGGAGATAAATTACCTGTTATTTCAAGGACTTTCTTGCTTTTCCAGGAGATGTTCTAAATAATTATGACAAGTAAGGGATTTTAACAAGTTCGTAAGCTAGGTAAGTTATTTGAAGGCTTTTCTTGAACGGTGCCACGGCGCTGTGCGGTCTTGCCATCAAAGTGTTTGCCAAGCACAGCCAAGAATTGTTTTCGCGGATCGTATCGCTTCGACTCTTGAAGTGTTGAACTAGAAATAATGCACAGAAAGATCGAGGTGATGCGTTGATCGAAAATAAAAAAAAGAAAACTTGTGGCAGTGCAATAAACTTTGAAAGGGGGGGAGGATTCATTCGTCAAAGAATCAAGATTTGAATTTATTTAATATGGCTGTGTGAAATCAAAAGCAAATTACTTTTTATGATTTCAATAAAAATATTTATTACTTTTCTAGGAATATCCACCGAAAAGCCTCGCAAACCAGCCGCAATGCAAAAGATCATCAAACGTTGAACGTTTTTACTGGTTTGTTAGAAATGCAACATTTGCAACATAACCGTATTTTGAGGCTTGTAATTCCGGAAATATAACCATCTTGCTGCATTGGTTCGATTTGGGGCTGGAGACCGAAAGAAAAAATATTTGTACCAACCTGATCTTTCTGTTTTTTTTTTTTTTTTTTTCTGTTTGTATTGATATATATATATATATATAAAATATTATGATGTCAATTTTGAAGGAAGGAAGGGATGAGGCTTACTTCAGATCAACATGGTCAAAAAAGAGATTTGAATTTTAAGAAACCCAAGGTTACGTATTATAAAACTTTTTTTATTTGTACGTGAACAATAAAAATATCGTGAAATATAATCGGTTCAACTTGATTCAAATAAGTGAAATCAAACTTAAAAAAGAAAGGTAAAATAAAAAAAAAGATGAGTTAATATAAATTCAATTATTACCATCAAAGAAAGTAGGTTCATACATACTATGAAGCAGGGTGACCAGGAGCAATAGGATTACCCTCGGAATCATAAACCGGCGTTATTTCAATAGTTGGTTTGCCAGTACATCTAATTCGGCATTTAAAAATGTTAAATTCGTTAAAGATGTAAGCTAAAAAAAAAAAAATAAGAAATTTATTACTTTTTAAAAATTCTAACAAATGGAACGCATATAACTCGGTTTTCTTCAATTCTACATTGATATTGAACTAATTCGGAAAGTGTGCATTTGGGTTTCTGTTTTACAGCAGATAAAGATGGTTCTTCATTATTCATTTTTGTAGAATTTCTCGGGAAAAAAATAAAATCCAACAAACATTAAACTTATAATCTGCATTACCTGCATTGTAACCACGTGTTTCTCATTCACAACTTTTACGATCACCGCATAATGGGGATTCAAAACTTGATAGCTATACGCTCGTTCATAATTGGTCAGGTCTTTATAAAATATGCAATGTTGGATTTAAAAATCCCGTCCATTCATCCTAAAAAGACCTCCGACAAATGGACCAATGGTCTTTCGGATCGTTCATTCAATTTTTGATCAATTCCTAAAAATGCAAGAACTTGTATCAAACTCGCAAGGAGGACTTGTGAACACCCGAACAGGCGAACCTATCATTTATAACAAAAAGACAATAGGAGGCTTGTATCCTTTTACCTGACGCGTTTATTTTAGTGTTTTATCTCGGTCTTGACGCGTCATTTTTGAAAAAAAAAAATACTCTATATAAAACACAACCACTTGACTCTTTCCTTTCGTGTGTTAAAGTATGGAAGAGAGGGGATTTCAAGTAAATGGGCAAGAAACTCAAGCGAGTAATACAAAGAAGAAGTTCTCTGATCGTGAGAATAAAGGGAAAATAGAAGATATTCTTAACCCAAACATAACAGTATATAAAAATTCCGCGAATACCTTTAAACGTTGCGAAATAAATTTAATACCTGATAAACAAGTTGAAAGCTATCGATACATGTACCAAATGCGAATACTTGAGGGTATCATATTGACTTTATTGACTTTAGAACGCGTTCGCACTTTCACAAAATGAGATTATTATTTATCGATTTTTATTTAAAACATGTAGCATTGGATGATCGATTTTCTAATTTATCAACAATTTTAAAGGATCATTACAATTTGGAAATTTCTGATGCATTTCATATCAATCGAGTAAGTTAACAAAAATTGTCGTGCGCTCTATTGGATAATACATTTCTTTGATTGTTTATTATTAAAATTTTTTAGGATGAGATACATACAGTTGGTAGAATTTGTTGTGACTCGGAGGGTAATCTTAACACTGAATCCGTTTTGCTAGAAATTCCAGAAAAACGAAATCGTTTGAGATTATCATTCGATGGACTAAAGTCATTTTCTTTATTTTCTGGACAGGTAGTTCTTCTTTATAAATCGTGTTTTACATAATTTATTTTTCATGTTGATTTTTTTTTTTTTTTAAAAAACAAGAATATTTTTTAAAATTATAATTAGATTGTGGGTGTTGAGGGTACTAATAGTACTGGAAATCATTTGAATATGAGTAGAATTTTTGAGGTAATTATATTATTCATCATTTTTTTTTTAACTTAAACGAATAGAATTTAATAAACAGATCTTTTATTTATAATAGATACCCTTATTACCTATGTGTAAAACACCATCAAGTGAATTAATCGAATATAATTATGGTCAAGAAAAACTAAATGGAAATCCATTAAACATAGTAATTGCTGCAGGGCCATTTACTTTTAACAATGGATTTGAATACGAGCCTTTCAAAGAGCTACTTTCCAAGGTGAATCAGGACAAACCTGATCTGTTAATTTTGGTAACTTTTTTTTGAAAAGAAATTGTCATCTTCGTGAATTTTGTAAATGTTTTATAATCATTTTTCTTATTTACTTAGTTAGGACCATTTGTGAGTGAAGACCACCTTCTTTTAAAAGAAGGAAAGACTTCCAAAACACCTGGCGAAATCTTTAAAGAATGTATTATTGATGAATTATGTAAAGTAACTAATGTATCCATTGTTTTGGTTCCAAGCACCAAGGATTTATTTCATCCATTTGTTTTTCCGCAATCACCATTCCCTAAGCACGTATTATCGAAGGTATTATTCATCTCAATGTACATTTACTCATGAGATTAAATGTGTTGATTAATGTTTTATTTTACATTTCAGAATGTCATTTGTGTGTCAAACCCTGCTCAATTCCGAGTAAATGAGATAACATTTGCTATTGATAATGTTGATATTTTATTTCATCTTATTAATAATGCAATTGAAAGGTATAATAGTAATGTAATTAAATATTAAATAAAATCGTATGAATTAATTAATCCCTTTATTATTCTTTTATTAGAATTGATGGAAATGCAAAGCCTGGTTTAGATCGAATGGGAAGACTATCGCGTCATATATTGACGCAAAGACAGTATGCATCTTTTTATTACAGTAAATTCATAGAAACCCTTGTAACAACTTTTTTTTTTTTTTTTGATCTTTTAGTCTTTATCCATTATTTCCTACGTATGAAGAAGTAAATCTTGAATTCAAGAAATCTAGTTACCTTGAACTACAACAATTACCTGATGTCCTAATTCTTCCTTCAAAATTAAAATCTTTTGCAAAGGTTAATATTATTTCTTTTTAAATGAAATTTTTTTATGATGGTTTCGCAAATATAACATATTTTTTATTTTTTGAAAATAGGTTGTTGAAAATGTTATTTGTATTAATCCTGGTTATCTTTCAAGAGATGAGTCTGCTGGGACATATGCAAAAATGACTATACATCCTTTACCAAAAACACTTATAAAAGAAGATCAATTAATAGAAAACTCGGTTTTTAAAAGAACAAGGGTTGAAATAATTAAAATTTAATAATTTGATCACAATAAAAAATTCAAATTGTCTACAATCAATCAATTATTGATTTGATATATTTCAGATTAATAAATAATTTTTAGACGTTAGATTGTTGAACGGTGACTTTTAGCCGAGGAGATTTGGATTAGGATGAAATGTTCTAAAAAAAATTCATTAAGGGAATACTAATTATAATGCTTAATTCATTTTATTAGTAGGAAATAGATAGTTTTATTATAATACAATAACAAGTTACTTTAAAGTCAGTTATCGTGGAAGAATTGTAACAACAATCTTATTTATTAAGCATACGCACAAAAGTAAGATCAAGTACAAAAGATACTAATGATACAATAGGTATATAGTAATTTTGCGTAAAGCATTGATTTCAGTATTTTTGATGACCTCATAATCCCGCAGAAAGTTAGGAGGAACAGCTCCAAAAGTTGTGATTTTGCTACGTGAGGTTTAGGTTTGAAGGTTAATAAGTTCGTTCGCATATCAGGCTGTTGGCATTGATTATAAATCAATGGGTGGCTTGTTATGACGAAATACAGCAGTTATTAAAATTCATAGAATTTAATAAATATGACGCAGCTATTGCATCTCGATGTTGTTTCATAATGCGACGATCATTTAATTAACTTCGATCGGAATATCTTTCATTATATCTATTAATATCGAAGTTAATTCATTATCATTTAATAATAACTTGTATTATTTTATTAATAATCATAAAATCAACTTTTAATAGTTAGTACATATTATATAATTTTTTACATAGCTTCGTTGTCACATCAATTAGATTTTGCTTTTTTTAATACTGATTTTAATTACCACAAAGTCACTAGAGCTTATGTAATAAACTCATATAAACCTACAATATGTCAGATAGTAAACTTACTTCAGAACAAAGACAAAGAGAGCAACACAAAAGAGCTCTAGAAATATTTTTTAGAGCCGGGAATGAATGTGTATTTGACAGAAAAAAATTAATATAACAGAATATAAGAAAAGAGTGAAAAGGACGACGAATTTATAGTCATTTTACTTGCAAGTTAGAACATTTACTTTTACTTAATAAACTTGAAACGAACTCTCAAACATATTTTAAATATAAAAAACGCGAAGCACGTAAGAATGAAGGATCAGTTGGTAAGTGAATTGTTCTTTCTACTTGATTAATAAAGCCGAACACACATAACTTTTTAACCATTTAAGGAGCCGTCAGAAGAAATTCTGACAAGAAGTAAATTTTAAAGAAAATCAGATAAAATTAGATCCTCCAGTACAGATTGGAGATTTAATTCACAAGTTATCGTGTTAATTCTACCAAAATGAGATCGGTTAATATTACGACATCTTAAAGGCCGATGGTTTAGAGCTATCGCATTTTTTGATAATAAACTTTTTAGATAATTTTTTTTAGCAATTACTTTGGTAGCCATTATTAACTTAGCTTTGAGTATTGAGTTTCTTATTATTTTATTTATACCATGATTTATCAAAACTACCTTAAATAAATTTTTGATGAAAATTTTGTTTTTTAATGATAAACTCTAAAAATCCCTTTAAACAATGTATTAATTGTTATTCTCAAATGAAAATCTAGAATAGGTAGTGATTACCGTAAATAACAAAATAAAGTAAAGAATAACCTTATACAAGTTTATATGAAGACCAAGTATTATTTTAAATGCTCAGATAGATGTATTTTTTATGCATGATCGAAATACTTAATGAAAAAAGTAGTTAAAATAATAAGTTTTGCAATAAATAAGCCATTTTTATTTATTAATTAATAACCTATATTATTTTTGTAAAAATTTAAATAAGAAATTAATATATTTGAATTTTATCCTATTATTATTTGCATTTATTTGTCATTGTGATTCCTTATACCTTTTTTATTGTTTAAATCTCTGATAATTGCTCACAAACAGAAATATTATTATCTGAAATTTTATTTTTATGTATTTTTAAGGCAGATAATATTATCATTTTATCTTCAGTAATTCGATATTTAATACTTATTATCTTTCTACTTTTTGATTATAACTTATTTAAATTAAAAGAGTAGTTTGCATCCACATCTACTAGTTATACTTTATTGGAATTTTTAGCATGTCTATATTCAGTAAGATTTATTAAAAATTGATTTATGAGTTTATTTTCTTTTTAGATTTGTGTTTTCTTTTTTTCTAATCATTATAATCTTTAAATTTATGTTAATAACTTCTGCTACTCTTTTACCTTTTGTATTTTTACTATCTATACCTAAAACTTTTTATCATATACTCTTATAATTTGTTTTAACTAAAGTTATTAGACAAAATCTAGAGATTTTATAAGTCGTTTAAATAGAAAAAAAATAAAATTTAATGAAATCATATTAAAACCTTATTAAAAAATCTACAAAATTCTAAAAAAGGTAAAACTATATCAAAGCTTATAAAATGCAAAATTATATCAAAACCTTAGTAAAATATTAACAAAATTACAGTTTAAATATTTTGCTAAATATAAAATAAATTTAAATAAGCAATCTTAAATATATTATTAATATTTATTAAAAAGAATTCAGTAATTATGATATACAACTAAAATTAACTAATACTTATGATAATTAAATCTTTAAGTTAGAAAAAGCTAGATCTAATAATATTAATATAATAAATATAACTATTTTTATTATTCTTTCAAAGTTTGTGATTTTTTATAACCTTTTCACTATCAGTTATACATTAGTCTTTTTTAATACATTTTATTAATAATTTTATAAAAAAAGCTATTTAAAAATTTAAAAAATTGTAAATTCTATAGTTTTTGACTAAATATATATCTAAGTTATTTAAAATTATTTACTTTAAAATTTGATTTTATTTTTTTTTTTTTCAAAAGCTTACATAAAAAAACTCTTATTATAAATAAACTAAAAAGTTAATTAAAGAAATTATTTTCTTATTTAATTATCATATTAATTATTAAAGTAAAAACATTATTAGTAAATTTAACTAAATTAAAATATAAAAAAAAGAAAAGTTTTAAAAGTTTCTATTATTATATTTTTTTTTAATTTTGTCATTATCTATTTATATAATATTAATTAGCTAATTTTTAAAAATCTCAAGTTATCATTATTATATAAATTTTATTAATACATATTATTGTATTTTTTTTCTACTAGAACAATAGTATTCCATATAAAATTCAGATCAATCTGAATTTAATCTGAATCTAATAAATCAGATTCAAATTAAATCTAACAGATTTAGATCTAATTCGAATTTAAATTTAAATTTAAATTCAGATTTGATCTATTAGATTTGAATTTATATTTGAGTTTAATCTATTAGATTTAATTTTAGATTTAACTTCTTTTAGAGCTAAAAAGGTTTTTTTATTAAAAAAGAATAACTTTTTAGACTTTTTAGAACTGAAAGTTTATTTCTTTTTATAAAAAAGAAATAATTTTTCAGATCTCTTTTAGAGTTGAAAATTTATTTTTTTTATTGAAAAGGAACAACTTTTCAAATTTCTTTTAGAGCTGAAAATATATTTTCTTTCATTGAAAAAGAATGAATTTTTAAACACTTAGAGCTGAAAAGATTTCTTTTATTGAAAAGGAATAAATTTTTAAAATTGAAAAATCATTTTTTAATAAAATTTTTTAGATTTGAATCAGATTGGATTTGGATTTAAACTGATCTGTTAGATATAGATTTAAAATTTAATCTGTTAGATTTGAATCAGATCTGAATTTCAAAAGATCTATCAAATTCAAATCAGATTAGATTTAAATCAAATCAGATTTTATAAAATATTACAGAATAGTAATAAATAAAGGCTTTTTAATGATATTAAAAATATATTTACAAAAGGTTAGATATGATCATAATATCTTATATATATTTTATTTAATATATGATATTTTGAATATTTTGTTTATTTAAAATCAAAAATATATGTTATAACCTATATTTTAAGAAAAATAAGTGATATATTTATTATAAGAAATGTATTAATGCTATTGAATAACTTTCTTTTTAAAATTTATTAATTATTTATTATGTTTATACAAATATTTATCAAATTGAAAATGTAAATTACATATTTTTAAGTTTGATAAAATACTATTAACTTTTTTAATTTTATTTTTAAATTCTTATTCTAAAATTTCATTATTATTTTTCTGATCTAATAATTTATCTTTAAAATATTTTAAATTTTTAGAATTTATATTACAATATCACTAGTATTATTATAAAACAAAATATTAAATACTTAATATTATTATTTAATTTATTATTATAATCTTTGTTTATTAGATATATAGAATATAAAGAAGATATAAGTAAGAAAATATTATAGATTTATTTTAACATTTTATAACTTGCTTTTTTAAATTATCAAAAGTAAAGTGAACTAAAATCAAAATACAAGTTATTATTAATAACTTCTTTTATCTATATGAAGATAAAAAAAAGTTTCATTTCTATCTTAATATTTTACAAATCATATTATTACAAATTTTTGGTAAAATAATATCTTTTATGTTAAAATACATTAAAAGATTGATAATTATTTACTTTATAAAAATATATTACTAATAAAATTTTTATTCAATCATAATAAAAATTAATAAGCTATCACTCAAGAATGGTATTAAGTTATATGTAAAATTTAGTATATATTATTAAGTAAGATATTTTTATTAAAAAAAAATAAAAAAATTGATTTTATAAAAAAATAATTGATATTTTTAATTAAAAATATCTCTTAATCTAATTTCTAAAATAATTATTAATTGTATAATAAATTAATTTATTTAATTTAGCTATTAAATCATAATAAGTTTTTTTTGAATTAATTAAATAAAATAATAATATAAATTTGAAGAAATAATAATTACAATATTAATTTAAGAATGTATGAGAAATTTGTTAATTTTTTTGATTAAAATTAAGATCTTATTATATTTTAATCTAATAACATCAAAAATTAAAATGTAATAAAAAATAAAATTTTATTAAAAAATTCAAAAACCTATTTTTCTAACAAATCTTTCATATATTATTAAAATGAAAATGTTTGAAAATAAATATAAATTAATTTTATTAATAAATAGTATAAAATATATTCTTAATATAAATAATAATTATTCAAATACTATTAAAATAAATAAAAAATGTAAAATTTTGTAATAGAATTCAAAAAATAATTAAACAAATAATATATTTTGATTTAAAATTTATTCTACATATTTAAAACAATGATATATTTTTTTAAATTATGTTTTAATATAAAAAAAAAATACTATTAAATTTAAATCTGCATAATTTAAGATTTTGAAGTTAATTACATAATATTTTTATAATAATACTTGGTATTTAGTAAATTCATGAATTTCATATCTCACAGTTTCAAACACATTCATAGAATTGAATTATTATGCTATATATTTAAATAAAATAATTTATAGTAAAATAATATTTATTATTTATAATATATATATAAAAAAAATTGTACTATAAAAAATTATACAGAAAAAAAAATAAATAAATAAAAGAATTCAGTAAACTAATAACATTTTGATAATAAATTTTCTTTAAAGAAACTTTGTAGTGACTTGTAATGGCTTGTAGTAATAACCTAAATAAATGATAAAAAGTGTTGGCAAGAGTTAATCATAGTATGAGCCTATACAAAAGTATGAAAATTGGTATCTAAATTTTACGACG